GTTCATAGATATATTATTATAAAGCATGTTATATGTTCTTTGCAGATTTTCAATCATTTAACTGTTACTTCATATTTATACAAATGGGTATAGAAACTCGTTTAGAAAATTTATCAAACGAGATTTTCGTGGAAACATTTGACTATCTACATGCACTTGATATCTTTAGTGCATTTGGTTCATTGAATAAACGAATTTCGTCGATTTTACAATCAACTCTACTTTGTATTGTTATTTCAGAAATTCATTGTCGTAATCAAGTTGATTTTCTTTCTTCTTATCTTACTTTCCATGATCATCAAGTTATTTCAATAAAAATCGATGATACAATTCGTGATGATACATCTATTATTAATTTATTATTCAATCGACATGATTTTATTAATCTTCAATTCTGTAAATTTATAAGAATTGATCAATCAACAAAACTTGACAATGTTATTCAACAAATAAAAAGTTTTGATAAACTTGTTTCATTTAATATTTTTAATCTAAATGGTATAACTATGAATAGAAATGATAAATATGAATTAGCTCGAATTATGTTAATGCACAAATCATCTTCTCTGCGTTCAATTGTTCTACACTATCCTTATCATTATTCAAATATTTTCAATAATATTTCATTATCTTCAAACATTACATCATTGTATTTATATATATATGGTTCATCTTCAATCGTTTCTGTAGATTCAATTTTGGCAATTCTTCACCTTTGTCATAGAGTACGTTGTATAGGCCTAACCGTGAAAGATAAGGAACCGGTTGACAATAATGATTTCTAGTAAGTTGTCGAATAAAAAATGTAAAAGTTGAAAAATTGTGCGCAAAGAAAAGTTTTTAATTCAAAATAAAATCTTTTTCTTTTCTTTTCTTTTGTTTTAGTGATCCAGTTCCGATACCATCTGTTGACGAAGATGATCTTCCTGTATTATCACATGTGATCTCATTTGAATTGACATTTTATGTTGCATGGAATACTGCTTCAATTAGTTATTTATTGCGTTGTATGCATAATCTTAAGATTTTCATTTTTATGTTTGGGCCATATAAATCAAAATATTTATTTCCTGTGGATTTAATTGACGGTTATGTATGGCAAGAAATGTTAGAACTTTATGTTCCATATCTATCGAAATTTGAGTTTCATATGTCAATTTGGAAATATAGTCCACGAACCGATTTGAATATTGTTATTAATTCATTTAAATATTTTGTTAACAAATATTCTAACTGGCACATGATTATTGATCAATGGAGTTTACAGTCTTCAACTCCAGGTAAATAAAATTATTTAAAAAGTTTTAAAAGATAATAAAATGAATAAAAAGATATAGAGTATAGCAAAATGTCACTTAGTAACTAATGAGGGAATCTTATGAGGTGTTAAAAAACTTTTAAAATAATTGAAGTTTAAAATTTTTTATTACTTCAGGGAAATGTTTTCGTAAGTTTTATTTAAAAGAGAAGATTAGAAAATATCTTGAATAAATAATATTTTTATAGTGTTCTTATTCTAAAAAGCCAAATAATTTTCTTAATAGTATATATTAAAAATTTAATTTTTTTTCATGTTTTAGCCGAATGTATTATGCTTCGTACATTGAATTATCACAAACACAAATCGAATCCGTATACATATATACCTTCAATTCCTAGTGGAAGTTTTAACTCACAATCAACAATGGAAAATATAGATGATCATTATCTTTTTTATAAGAATGAAATAGATTTAAGACTATACATAACATCTGAAAGACCAAATATTACTTATTCTTCTCCATTATTTCAACAAATCGAATTTTTCAAATTAGAAATATCAAAAATTCCTTCAACATGGTTGAACAATTTTCTGGATATTGGTAAGAAGAATATGTTTAGTTTTTATTTATTCACACAAAATAATTTGTTTTTTATATAAATAATTGAGTTAGTTTATATTATTTTTTAGTTAATTTTCATAAAACAAGTGATGATGATGCAGAAGAAATTGTTACTTATCTTTCAAATTGGATTTATTTATTCAAGTTAATTAAAATAGAATTTGGCTCATCATTTAATATATATAGATGGAAATATGTTCAGTTTATTTTACAGTAAGGTTCTTTTAGATTTATAAAAGTATTTTATTCTTCATGATCTAAGTGAAACCTTTCATTAGATACTAGAAAAGTCTATCGGAGTCTTGTCTTTATCAGAAACTGAAATGAGCGAGAACTATCGTAATCCAGTTTAACAAAGATAAAGATTCGTTTTATTCTATTTGACTTACAACAACTACAACTCTGTTTCAGTTCGATGCGAGTCGTGTTAATTTTTTTTGAGAATTCATGTTATAGAAAATTCGATGAGGTTAGAAAAGACTTTAAACCATCTTGATAGACAAATCAAGACTAATTGAATTAGATTCGATTCGTTAGATACTATTATCAATAAAATCTAATGATGAAATTGTTTTTTTCTTCTAATTTAGAGAATGTTCAAACTTGACCATGCTTACAATATTAACTGAATTATTAATCTATTCGAAATTTATTGATAATTCATTTCTTATTCCAATTTTCAAACAAATTGAACTAATCGAAACAACATTTGAAGATGTTTATTTTTCTCCAAGTTTTTCAATGAAATTTGTTGATCGTTTTCCATCACTTACACATATCAAACTTCAAGTGATTTCGTTTAACGATTGTGTGTCTATTATCAATACATTTCTTAGTCATCTGAAGAATCTTTCATATATTAAAATTGATTATTTTGAAAATTCATTACTTGATGATCCATTTTCACTTGAAAATATTATTGAAAAACGTCGTCAAGCATTTCCAAT